TTTTTTTTAACTTTTTTCAAAAAACTTTTTCCAAAACCCCCAAATTTTGAACCAAACGCAGCCCTCATTTTTGGGAATACTATTTTCAATATTATTCAATTTTTTTAAACCCTCTAAATTTGTTAATTTAATTAAATACCCCTAAATATTTTTTTTAAAATTACAAAAACACTCCAATAATCTACATTTACCAGATTCCGGCCACCACCGTCGAAAAATGGCCGAAATCTGGTAGGATGGCGCACTACCGGTTGAATCTGGCCGGTAGTGCGCCGATCTAGCCTTTTCCGGCCAGATCCACGGTGGATCTGGCCGGAAAAGGCCAGATCTAAGGCCAAAGATCTGGCCGTTGACGGCCAGATCTTCGGCCGTAACAGTCGGTCACGACGGCCAAACAAACGGTCGTCGTTGACCATCAACGACGGCCAAACAAACGGTCGTCGTTGACCATCAACGACGACCATTTATTGGCCGTCGTTGAGAGCAAATACGGCCAGATCTGGCGGTTGACGGCCAGATCTGGCCGTAGATCTGGTCGGAAAAGGCCATATCGGCGCATGACCGGCAAGATCCAGCCAGTCATGCGCCCATAAGGCGACTCCGGCCACCTCTGGTGGTGGTGGCCGACTGGGGGTGTTTGAGGGTGGGTTAGGGGTATTTTTGTTAACTTTTAATGTTTTATTATAGGGGGTATTTTGTAAAAAAACAAATATATGGGATATTTTAGTAATTTATAAATCTTACATCGTAATACCCGCCCAATTCAACTTTTTTTTAACTTTTTTCAAAAAACTTTTTCCAAAACCCCCAAATTTTGAACCAAACGGAGCCTTTGTTCTTTATATTCTCCTCTTACTTTAAAAATTCCTAAAAACATCATTTTATAATGCTAGGGTTGTGAAAAAATTAATGGAAAAGCCCTATACAAAATAAGAGAATCAAATTCAGATTAGACTAGATAGAATTCGTAGAATTAGGATTCCTGCACTGACTCTCCGTAAACTAGACTTTAGAGCTTCACAAGAATATATGGAACGGCTCCCAATTCGTTTGGAAGAATTTATGGTAGCTTCACGAAGTTTCTGCCTCCTGGACATGCCTTTTCCAAACCAGAATCTAAATGTCGTGGTGCTGAAAGATCTTCCAATTTGAACACCAAAAAGTCAGAATCTGAAGAAGTCATAAACATAATAATTATAGCCCTTCAAGTCAGCTTCCAAATGGTCTAAGAATCATCCAAATAGGGATCTACAGCTCAAATGATCATCAAAAGACTGAAGCATTCTCAAAACTGGAGCATTTTCCAGATTTCTTGTTCCATGCTAAATAAGTCATATCTTCCTCATTTCAACTCTGATTCTCAAACTATGTATTTTTAATAATTATAAATTCTTTTGCCAACGTCATCTTTCATCCGAATATTATTTTTAAGTTTGTATGCCCTGAAAACACAACAAAAATACCTGTAATCTCAAAAAGTATATTTATGAAATAATTAAGTTAATTCATACAATTAATCCTAATTTTCCACAAACGATACCTATAAACCACTAAGTATAAGTGTATTTTCATGCACTTATTAGTGATGTATTCCCAATTCAATATAATTCAATACAATACGATTGAATTTATCTAAAAATATCTTTTGAGCCTACCTTTCAATGGTCTCTATTGCCTTCTCAAAAATATCTCTGGGCATCCTTTGGTTATTTTCAAATTACCTTTCTTGCCCTCTCAATTCTAACAGTTATTTTATTTGAAGACCCCTTAAGGGCATCTCCAACCCACGCCAAAATGGCGTAAAAAACACCAAATTGGAGCACCAACCATGCCAAAATGGCGCAATACTGTACCGTAAATAAAATATATATATATATTTTTTTTTTTATTTTGCTTTTTTTTGTTTTTTGTTTTAATTTTGTTAAGTTAATTTGAGTATTAAATTTTACACCAAAAATCACACCAAATTTGAGTATTTGTATTTAATTTAATTTGATTATTATTTATAATAATAATGATATAATTTAAAAAATGATGAAAAATTAAAAATAGAACTTTATTCAATGCAAATATTAAACTACAATAACTCAAAATAAAAATTAACACTAATTTAAAAACACTAAAATTAAAAGAAAATACAACCATAAACTCAAATAACAATTTAATATTCCTGTAGATTAGTTCCGAACCAGTAAGATCATCAAAATATTGAAAAGAACTAGAGTTATTTTGAGATTCTTGAACTTGTCGTTGAGCTCTTTTTTGCATAATTCTTAATGCTCATTTTGAAAAAACTCACGTAAGCTTGGATCGGTATAGAATTCAAATCCTGAATAAAATTTTGTTATCTTCTCGATATTCTGCCAAAGCCAATTTTTTCATTGGATTTCATAATTTTGTGCTCTAGCTGAGTTGCCCTGATTGAAAATGCAGCGGCTTTCGATTTTCTTTTTGAATAGTTCTCTTGAAAGATGTGGACAGTGCGTTTGGAGTTCTCCAATCGCGATTTGCAATTGTGGCAGGACCGACAAGTTTTTGGGGAAAAAATGTATTACATGAATAATGATGCGTGTATTATTATGTACAACATGATAATCGAGGATGAACGTAATGTTGATGCATCGATTGAGAATCAGATGGAAGCGCCAACTCCCGAAGTTGAAATTATCGTAGATGAGAATGTCCGATTTCAAAATTTTCTGCTCGACATAAACAAATCAAGGATACAGAGGCTCATCATGCTCTTCAAAATGCATAAATGATCATTTGTGGAAGAACATACTAATTCGGAAAATTAAATTACTATCAATATGGAATTTTACCTTTGTGTTGTTGATTTTTTTTTTATCATTTTAATTAGATGTAATGTTTTTCTATATTAATGTAAGTTTATTTGATTAAATAAATGCTAATTTTATTAAATTAGTATAATTTTCAAAATAATTATTATTTAATAAAAATATCATTCACAATATTTAATTAATATATACAAAAATAATAAGTGAAATAGATTAATTGTTGATTATTACAATAAAAGAAAAAAAAGAATATTCTAAAGAATATTTTTTTTGGCGTAATATTTGGTGTTGTAGGTTGAGATGAAATAGTGTTTTGCACCAATTTGATGCAATTTTGCACCAAATTGATGCAATGGGTTAGAGATTGTCTAAATGTGTCAATTTTATCTAATTTCCCCTTAATCTTGTATGTTATTTTGAGTATGTTCTATCACTTCTTTAAACTATGGCAACTTGCTATAATTTGTTGGGAAATTTTGTGAACCAAACTCATTGACATTATGGCAAAGGGTAGTGTGACATAAGCTATCGGAGTGTTGATTTAGAAAATCTGTTGAAAATTATTTTAATATGAGTAAGCGAGATAAAACTAAGGATAGTGATATAAGATAAGAGATTCCAATTGGATTATCCCAATTACCAAGAGGAGAATGACAGTTTTGCGCTCAAGGTATGGGAAAAATAACAAACACACCCAAGAGGTTTGGAAAGTAATAAATGTGCACAAAAAATTTGACATACATTATTAGGAGAGCTTGGTTGATTATGTATACGGTAGTCACGCCAAGATGGTCTTGACTACATTAAAAAATATATATATATCATAAAAGATGGTCACCATCGTCAATACAAAAGATCCTACCAAACCGACCTTCCTCAATTTTATTAAACAAATTATTTCCACACACTTCTCTTTTCTAATAGAACGACACCAACTCTCATTTAACAATGGCATCTACCTTGTGCAAAATCTTCAAAATTGCCTCATTGTCAAGAGCTTGCCCTAGCCCGTACGCCCCTTCATAATCTCAAATAAAAACTAGTGACTTCTAGAGATACATAGAAGCATGAAACATTTATAATATTTTATGATAGTTATTATAAATTTTAACATATTATATAACAAGTGTGATTATTTATGTTATTTTAAAATTTTATGTCCCCCTCACTACTGTTGCAACTTGCAATAACTAAAGAAGACAGTACTTTAGTGACATCAATAATTTGATGCAATTTTATCAAACTTTAAAATATGTGTATATTATTTCTTCTCCTTATTGAAATGACAGTCTCCTCTTGTAGTTATTAATCTTTCTATTCATTTATTTATTGTTATTAATCTTTCTATTTATTTATTTATTTATTTTATGATTTTAGATATTTGGTTCATTTTATTTTTACTTCATTTAATTTTTCATGATCCTTAAATTATTTATCTAGTAATAGTTTTATTAGTTACTTTTATTAGCAATCTAAGAGGGATTCGAATTTAGGATCTCTTTAGTTATACACCTAAGAATCTTTATTGAACCACTCGACTACTTAAAGATGGTTTCTATTTATTATTTCACTCTTTTCAAATCTTGTTATTGATATTAATATTTCGTTAATCAGTTTTTGAATTTTATATTTAAGGTATCTATAATCTAATTACTTTTTTGTTGAGTTGGTTTTGTATATAGATTTATTTATTTATTTTGTACCACATCAATTTGTATAAATAAATTTATGTAAAAAGTTTTACATACAATATTATTTTAAAATATATAAAAAATTAGCTCTATAAATATTCGAGAATCATAGATGAATAGATAGCGTGATTTAGTGTATTACTTAAAAGGTCTTGAGTTCGATCTATCTGGGTTGCTAATAGGGGTGACTACTGAGAGAATTTACCTAACTATTAACTTTATGACCCTAGAAGATTAGTTGATGTGTGCGTAAGCTAGCTCAAATAACCCTGATCACAAAAAAAAAAAAAAAAAAAAAAAGGTAGCGTGACAATAAAAAAAAAATCACATAAATTTATATATTTATTTTGCATATGTAAAATCACTCTTCATTTAAAAATTATAACCTAAACATGCATATTTACCAAAATACCCCATCCCCACTAAAATAAAAATCATACACAGTTGCTGCTAAACATTTAATGACAAATCTCTCTTATTTTCTTAGGTAAACAACCCAATAACCAACCTCGTAATTTCAGCAAAAAATCAATAACCATTTCTCCACCACCTAAAATAAACACCAAGGAAAATCACTACTAATAAATAATAATCATACTCTTTCACACTTCATAATAAATTTCTCTGCCATGGCCTAACCTCAAAACGTTCCCACCATGGCCCCTTCCTTCCTCAGCCTCGTTTCCCTTTACAGCCTTTACCTTCGCCGTTGCTTCACCTCCTCCGGCCTCACCTCACAAACCCTCGACTTGAAAAACGGAACAACAATCCACTTCTGGGGTCCCAACCCCGATCAAATCACCCTCCAAAAACCTTCACTCGTTCTTATTCACGGCTTCGGCCCCGTCGCTATCTGGCAGTGGCGCAAACAGGTTCAATTCTTCGCCCCTCACTTTCATGTCTACGTTCCTGACCTCATCTTTTTCGGAAATTCCACAACGAAGTCCGCAGAAAGATCAGAGGTTTTTCAAGCGCTTTCTGTCGGGAAGTTGCTGGAAAGCATCGGTGTGAAAAAGTTCTCCGTTATGGGCACCAGCTACGGCGGGTTCGTGGCGTATCATATGGCGAAAATGTGGCCGGATAAGGTGGAGAAAGTCGTGATTGCGAGCTCCGGTGTTAACATGAAACGCAGTGATAACGACGCCTTGTTGAAGAGGGCGAAACTGCAGAGTATCGAGCATCTTATGTTGCCGGAAACGCCGTCGCAGTTGAGGACGTTAACCGGCTTAGCCGTCTCCAAGAAACTCAGTATCATTCCTGATTTTTTCCTCAATGATTTTGTTGAGGTAAGTTTTATTTATTTATTTATTTAATTTTTTTCTTGTTTTTTATTTCGTTGAAGAAGAGGAAGGCAATAATTTCATAATGGGCAAGAAATATTTTTTCAATATAGGAGATTTTGCCATTGGTGATCTTTCCTTTTCAGCACTTTAAGAAAAGTTTTACACTTTTGGTGGAGCAATGAATTTATTAGAGGATATTATATAGCTGTTAGCCACTTATCCTATAGTTAAGTGCCACGTAAAACTATATAATAAAATGCATGGGGCCATACATAAATTTAATTTTGTGATACGTGTACATTGCATAGATTCTTAATTTGGTGGGTGAACTTACTAAGTGAATTGTACATACAAAAAGTCTTGTTTGGTCTGACCACTCTCATCCATTCCCCAAAACCCGATTCTTAAATTGTTCTTATTAGGTTTAGGTATACGCTTTCGAAGTAATGCTGTTTAAAATGCCGGATTGTATTAGGATTAACGAAAAATAGACAATTAAGATCAAATGTTCAAATGATTTTGGTGGTTGAATCTTGGTTTTTAAAAAGCTATGTAATGCAATAACCAAAATGCTTTCATAATAATCAACTTAATTGTTTTATTAAGTCTAATAAAAACGGTGAAAAGCTTGAAGAGAGGAGATGAAATGGGAGTTTGTGGTTGCAGAAATTGTACTCAAACAACAGGAAGGAGAAGATGGAACTCCTAAAGGGACTCACCCTTGGAAAGGACGATACTGCAAACCTTTCCCCACTTCAACAGGTTCTCAATTACCCTCCATCCCTTTCTGTCCAGCTACCAACATGTCATTTTATAAAAGATTTAATCAATTAGCCGCTTATTCTGGCGATGCATTTTGTTGTGTAGGATGTGTTGATCCTATGGGGAGACCAAGACCAGATATTTCCTTTGAAGATGGCTACTGAACTGAAGGAGTATGAACCCTAATAACTTCAACCTACCAACCACTTCATTGACTAATTATTTTGATTTCAGAGTTGAGAGTCATAATCAAATTGAAAGCATTTTTGACTATGGCGAATGGTGATTTGCAGGCTTCTAGGGGAGAAGGCGAGGCTGGAAGTAATAGAAAAGACGTCCCATGTGCCCCAAATTGAGAACCCTCAATTGTTCAACAACATTGTCAAAAATTTCTTATGTGCCCCCTGATTAAATTGATGTAATGAGATGTGGGTTTTCATTAAACTAGCCAGAGGCTAAACCAATTGCTGCATGTAATGCTTGGGTGAATTTGGAAAAGCGATGACTTGCTCATGGCATGGAATTTTATTTAATTATGAATAAAGTTGATCCGTCTTCGACATATGAACCCAGTTTCACATGTGGGTCAATTTTTTTGGGCCATAGGTGAACCCAACAGAATTATTATTGCCCATAAACAAACCCAATAGAATTATTGCTTGCACCCTTGACTAAATACATGCAGGTTCAAAGACCAGATAAATCATAATATTATTTTAATAGATGATTCAACCAAAAAACTTAAAAAAATAAACAAAACTCGTTGAGTGTCATGTCAACCTCTTGGGGTTAGAGATTTATATTTTACTGGATTATTCCTATTTTTCTAGTATTATCTTAAAATAATTAAGATCTTGACAGTATCTAAACGTATATATCAAAGCATGTAAGTAGACATCAAGAATAATGTCACCTTTAGGGAAGTGACATGTAGTAATTTAACATGATGCTTTGATTAAAATAGTCCCCTAGTAAGGAGAGGTTGGTCGGTAAGAGCTATTACTATGTACTGTAAAAAGAAAATGTTGTTTATCACAAAACTCTCTAAATTCTTTACCAAACTCCATTATATTATTTAAGTATACAAATATATTGATTTTATTATTCATCTGGTTCAATGTATGTGACCAAGATTAACACATTCTTCCTCTTTCCAGGTTGTTTGAAAGCTCATTTTCTGAAGTTCAAACCATACCCCTACATCACTTATAATATATTTTTTTTAATTTTGTTTTTTAACTTTATATTACCATCATAACAAATCCCATCAAGAAGTTCATAAATCATCACTATGTTTAAAAAGCTTATTTTAATATTTTTATTTTATTGCCTACGTATACCTCACCAAGTAGTATATATATATATTATATTCAATTAGCAACAATTCACCACAAAAGAGTAGTGACCAGAAATTACAATGGTTAGTTCACATACGAGTGTAGAAAAAGGGAAAAAAAATGGTCAACGAAGAAGTTGTCATTTTCTTTTTAAAGCTCCAAAATCTCACTTCATACGCCACTCTTTTTTCCTTTTCTTTTTCTCCATCGTAGTATAGAGAAGAAAAAGTATTCACCTTGTTCTCTTATCTAAGACAATGTCATTTTCTGTATTATTCTTTCTTTTTTAATGAAAATAAAAAAAATACTTTGAATTTCAGGTAATGGTAATGGCGTTACTGTATTAGTAAACAGCAAACGACAAAACCCGATGTGAATATTTGACTAAACACACACTAAAGTTGGCGACACTTTGTCACCTCAACCTCATCTGCCACCCATGACCCACCAACCAAAACCAGTTTAATCTCATCGGACGGCTGAAAAAAAACCAATACTTCGATGGTGAACTTGTAGATTCATACACTGAAACATTTCCCAGATTATTAGTACTAGCAACCAATTAGGCAGAGGCTGAGTCTGTATGGAGTTCAGTCTTTCTGAGTTGTTGGTCATAACAAAAGAGAGCAGCTATTAGCGGTGTATTTTCCCGAGAAGACAGACTACATATACTATTTTTTTATTTAATTTTTACTATTTTATTTCTTCAACTTTGACTGAAGAAGAAGGCTGAACTCAAGCCGATAGCTTTGCAGCTTTCGGCGCTCTTTCTACTTCTCTTTCTCTTCAAGATTTGTACTACCTTACCTCTTGATTCCTTTCTATCCCTTTCTTTGTTTTATTTCTATGCTTAAATTTGCATTTAAGATCATTAAAATAACATATCCATGTTTATATTTATGTATTAAGTGAGAACCAAAGAGAAAGAGTTGTATTTTTAACTCTCTATTCACCCAAATCTACAACAACCCTTTTGGCTCTATTGCTATTCTTCACCTTTCTTCTCACAAGGTAACCCTTTTTTCTGCCTTCAATTTGCCAATTTTTTCTCTTGGTAGATCTTTCTTTCTTTCTCTTTTTTCCTCATCTGGGTGGAATTTTCTTCCGAGATCTTTGTATTGGTATCTCAGTAGTAGATCAAGAGGTATTGCTTTTTTCCTCATCTTGGTGATTGTTTATGAACCTTTTTGTTAAAGTGAAAATTTGGTACTAGTTATAGGTTTCTTGCTAAATTGGTAGATTGTATTGTGTAGTAACCGGTTAGATTATGTTAATTTAATAGTTGCTATCAATTTAACCCTGTTAACTATTGAATTGTGATAGTGGGGTTGGTAACCATGAGAAATATGGACTCAGAAAAATTAGTGAAGCACCTATGCTATGTGTATTTAATGTTGCATAATATGCTGGTTTTATTAATTGTCTGCATAAATACCAAATACAGTACTGTGAGTTGATTTATTGTGTAGTATTAATTGTCTCTACATTCTTCAACGTGTTTTGGCTGATGCTTCTTCCTCTCAGCTTAACTTAAATTCACGTGAAATGGCATGTGATTTGAGGCACTGGTCTCTTAGTGGAAAACTAATGTGTGTTTGTGTTTCTGTTCTTTGATAAAGGTTAATGCTTGATGCATTCTCCACATAAATGTGCAAATTTGTTTGAAGTTTCTATTAATATGGTTTAATTTGCAGCAAAATGTATATAACATTTTATGGTTTGAGCATAGGAAAAAATAGAAAAATGGCTTAACTATATTGGCTTCAGTTTATATATGAGATTGATGTACTTGTGTTCTCATCCTCACTTGGTTATGAGCCATTCAGCTAATGGCTTGCAAGCATGTAAACTTTATAATTTTTACTTCGCCCCACTAACTGTGATATAATTTCAGTAAGAAGCTAGCATATTTACCATGTGATTGAAGTATGTGCTTGTTCTGGACCTGTTAAGTGTCTTAACTACTTAGATCTTCTTTTGAGGGAGGTATTTCTTATTGTGATCCTTATTTGATTTGAAAGCAGGCTAGCTCAATTACATTATGAGTCAACTTTATAGAAGCCAATTGAAGACACAAGCAACAGGTGGTGGAGCTTGACTATTGCATCTTCTATGCTCTCTATTTTAACAGAAAACATGGGCTTACTCTGCAGCAGAAACCGTCGTTACAATGCAGCGGATGCTGAAGAGAATGCTCAGGTGAATTGTTTCTTGTAAAACATGTACTTCGTTGCCCCTTTACTAGTTTTACAGGTTTCAACTGATTGTAATTCAACGAGTAACTGTCTTTAATCATTCCTTCTTTTTTATCTTCTCGTTCTTTTCTTCATGTAATATTTAGTCATCAATTTAATTTTCACATGCGTTTCCAGACTGCAGAAATTGAAAGACGCATTGAGCTAGAAACGAAGGCTGAAAGGCATATTCAGAAACTTCTACTACTTGGTTTGTAAATTCTAGACTCTTTTTTCGTTCTTAACTCACTTCTATTTTTTATTTCTGTTTTGCACGAAATTGATGATACATTGGTAGTTAAAGCTTTCCAAGTTATAAGCTTTTTTTTTTAATTTTTGATGATTGCTTCATGGAATCATGAATAGCTTTTGTGGTATTGCTTTCCAGCCCTTGGGGAATAAAAGACTTTGATATAATGCATATTTTTTTTGTTGGAGAATATACACCCTTTTCCAATAATAAAGATCGTATATCTACAGTTGAGATTCTTGTTTAACAAACAGTGGATGAATTCTTATTCTTACCTTGATGCCTTCAGCCATCTAGGTTTCTCTTGTTGTTAAATGTTTCCTCATCAATGTATTTATTTTAACAAAGATATCTGTTGATTTATTTTACACTTCATGCATATATTTTCCAATTTTGATGACTTCTTGCCATTTCCAATTTTGATGACTTCTTGCCATTTCCAATTTTTAAAATGATCCTCACTAAAGTGCTGATATTTTTTCCCTTACCTTTCTTATTCGACTTGTTATTGTCTACATTCTTTGTCAGTTTCTGTTTTATTTCTTTTGCATCATAGGTTCACCAAAATGACACAGTCAATTTTTGTTGTTAAGGTGCTGGGGAGTCCGGGAAGTCCACAATTTTTAAGCAGGTAAGACATACTAATGATATTCCCTCTTGTAAAGTGTACTGTCTACTGACAATGCTGATTAAATATATTTTCTTTCTTGTGTGTAACTGTACACAGATTAAGCTTCTGTTCCAAACTGGCTTTGATGAGGCGGAGCTAAAGAGTTATATCTCAGTCATCCATGCCAATATTTATCAGACTATAAAAGTACGCAATACTTGAAAGGGTGTGTTGGTTATTTCCCTTTTGAATAACAAAGTGTGCATGGTGTCAGCTGTTTATAGTGAAGCATATAAGTTTGATAATGGATGAGTTGTAATTTTCTTCTTAGAGCTAAATGGCATGGGTTTTAATTCTTTAATATAAAGCGTAGTCAATATCTTGAACAGATTTTGTATGATGGGTCGAAGGAATTGGCTCAGAACGAAACAGATTCCTTGAAGTATGCTATATCCAGTGAAAATAAGGTTAGCATTCATCATTCTTTGTTTACTACATTGTCTTTGTGAGATTATCTTGTTTGCTTCAGTCCAAATGTTGTTTTTACCTTAAAGTTTGTAAACTGTACTATCCTGTGTTTTATGTTTTTGAAATATATAGCGAAATCTAGTATTTGCTGTTTGCTTTCTCAATTCTATGTTCAAACTGTTGCATGTACTTAAAACTGGCATTCTCTATCAGGATCTTGGAGAAAAGCTATCAGAAATCGGAAGCAGGTTGGATTATCCACGTTTGACAAGAGAGCTAGCACATGATATAGAAACTCTATGGAAAGATCCTGCAATTCAGGTAGCTGTTGCATCATGTAGATCACATATGCTGATTGCTATATCAGTCTCATTGCTTTATTTCAGTCATTTAGAGCTTTTATATGTTAATAATCTTTGCTATACTGTTAAGATTCTAATTAGTTGTTTATACATGTAGGAAACATTTGCTCGTGGTAATGAACTCCAACTTCCAGACTGTGCAAACTATTTCATGGACAATTTGCAAAGGTTGTCTGACACAAATTATGTTCCAACAAAGGTAAACATTATATGTAATCTGTGCTTGAGTCTGTCCCCTCCTTTTCAAAAAGAATGAGAATCTTTCACTAGGGCAGAGAGAATCAATTACAGCATGATGAATTAGCGTCTTGTGATAGAATGAGCATACTAAAAACATCATTATTCGAACAATATCTGGATCTGTATAGAATTTGCAAGAGATCAAGTTTATCATGAAATGGTAATTTTAAGGTGTCTATATTACTGCTCTTTAGTTAGTCACTTGCCATTCCTGTCCATTCCTGGAAAGGTGTAACTAAATTTTATCTTTGCATAGTTTCTCCTATAACATATTAAGTTGGCTGGTGCTCCTAGTCTTGCTCTTACTGTTTGACAAGGGCCATCTGGGAATATTCTGTCTGCAATGTATTACTTTCTTCACAAGTTCATTCTTAATAATTGGTTTCTTGTGGTTTTTGGGGACTTTTTTTTTACCTATTTATCTACATTCTTTGTTTCTTCATCATCTTTGGTTAGTTTTGGAGTGATCTTATATATAAATTTATTATGAAAATAATATGTGCTGAAGAGATTCAGTGAGCTCTATTTCTGCTCTACTAATATATTATTGGTAGCTTAACTTGGGAAGGGATGATAGTGAAAAGTGAATAAATTTCCCTAGTAGAATGTTAATTGTGGGGAAATAATAATTATAAAAGAATACGTCCTTATAGTCGGTAAATAAGAAAACGTATGACAATCAGTCGTATCATTACGATTTAATATGTGTACGATAGGCGAATCCTTCATGAATACAACATCATAACTTATGACAATCAGTCGTATCTAATGCTAAATTATACACATGCTATATCTTGTATCAGCCACTTTTGTCAATTTTTTAAGTATATGCCATTTACAGTATTGGATTGTAGTGTCTGTATGTGTAATTATTTTTCAGGGCACTGCAGAAAATATATTCTTGAAATTATGATTCATACAATTGTTTTTCACCATATTTTGGTGTTGCAGGAGGATGTCCTTTATGCAAGAGTTCGCACAACTGGTGTTGTAGAGATTCAATTCAGGTAATCATTTTATTCAAGTGTTGCGGATGATCAAACCATCTTATTTGACATCCGCATAAGATGGTTTGATCATCATCATTGCCTTTTTCTTCTCATAAATTTTTTAATTTCTTAGTCTTACAGTCCAACCATTTCAACATCCTTGTTTTTTTGGCCATTTGTTTTTTGACAAATTAATTTGACCTACATATGGATGCCTGGTATTGAAATTATATATGTGTGTTTTTTCTCACATGTTAACATCGTGGAGATAGTCGTATTTTTTAGCAACTTAAATTTGTGGTTTGAAGCGAATAACCCTTTTGCTTGTTTATATTTTGCTTTATAATTTTAGTGAGGGACTTACAGTTGGCCATGGTTTTGCAGCCCTGTAGGAGAGCATAAGAAAAGTGGTGAAGTATATAGACTCTTTGATGTTGGAGGCCAGAGAAATGAGAGAAGGAAGTGGATCCATCTATTTGAAGGCGTTACAGCTGTTATATTTTGTGCTGCTATCAGCGAGTAAGAATTGCATTGCTTCCATTCACCCCTTATACTTTATATATGTCAGCACTTAAACACTATTGTTAAGCTCTTTCCTATAAGCTTAAGTTTTTCGGATTAGTGGTTTTTCAGTATAACATTTTAGTTGTGTAGATTTCTAGGTATTAAAAAAATAAAAAAAATGTTGCATCTGGTTGCTAAAATTTTGGTCTTGCTACTGTTGGCATAGACATTGAGTTGATTTAAATTGCCACCACTTTTTGCTAACATCTGAAACAAATCTTTGCTATTATAAAAATCTTACATGGCAACTTTGGTGCTTCAGGTATGATCAAACACTCTTTGAGGATGAACAAAAGAACCGCATGATGGAGACTAAGGAGCTTTTTGACTGGGTTCTGAAGCAACCATGTTTTGAGGTTTCCTTCGATGCCACTTTCTGTGCATTTGTGTTTGTGCATGTGCATGAGCATGTATCAGGACAGTTGGATCTTTATCTTAAGGGTTATTTTGTTTCTTTGATGCAGAAAACTTCCTTCATGCTGTTTCTGAACAAGTTTGATATTTTTGAAAAGAAGGTTCTAAAAGTAAGCCCAAATATAGCGGTTCATATTTATTTGTAACTGACAATTTTTCATCAATTTGGGTTTTTTAACGTTCTGTATTCTGTAGGTGCCACTGAATGTATGCGAGTGGTTCAAAGATTACCAGCCAGTTTCGACGGGAAAACAAGAGATTGAACATGCCTATGAGTAAGCATTCATATCTTCGTAGTTGCATTTTTCCTCTGGTTGTAAGTTTTGGGTGCTAAAGCAGCTTCAGCATAAAAATGAATATGCATTTTATATTAGATGTCTCGTACTGTAAGAAATATTTGCCTGACTACAAGGAGAACTTGTATATAATGTCTGCATTTCATTTGCTGATATTGGCTTAAAATATCTTCAACTGATTTCCTTTTGAAAATTCAGCATTCTCCAGCTGAGCTTTCAAGGTTGAGTTAGACCTTCATATAATTTGTTAGTTTGTTTCCAGGAAAGATCCAATGACCATTCCATGTTTGGAAACTTCCCATTCAGGTATATCAAGAAGAAGTTCGAGGAGTTATATTTTCAAAGCACAACTCCTGATCGTGTGGACCGGGTCTTCAAGATCTACAGAACCACCGCCCTTGATCAGAAGCTTGTGAAAAAAACTTTCAAGCTAGTAGATGAGACATTGAGACGCAGAAATCTCTTCGAGGCAGGCTTATTGTGAACAAAGAACAATTTCTTTGAATCGGTCGGATTTTGGACGTTAAAAAGTTGGATGAAACACCCCATTTGTTGACTGCTGGTATATCACATTCCGTAGGCACAAGTTCTGAATTCCATTTGTTTCTTACACGGATGAAGGGGGACGAAATTTTTTTCCACATAATTTCATTGACTGCTTATTTGTATTAAGAAAAAACCCGCCCAGAATTCTTTTATCTCGTCCGTTTTGCTTCAGAGCAGGCATCAAAACTTACAAAAGTCACTTATAATTTTTGTTCTAATATAGTTCATTGTCTATAAGCATTGTTTCGTGTATTTCTGAGTCATGGAATATTCCTGAAAGCAATCAGTCAACTGGCTTGTAAGTGAAAATATTGAAGAAATTAGAATATGTTTTCCAGATGGGTTTATATGAAAAGCAGATCTAGTTATGAACTTATGATGGTATTGATTCCTCTTTCAAAGAAAAATCTTTAGATACAAGTCATTTTCATGGCCAAGTTTACACTTTTGAATAGTCACAACTCACAACCACTTTCGTTGTCCAAGTCCAACCAGCCTTTCATCTTGGAAAGATCTTTCTTGCAACCTGGTTTCCTTCAACGATGGTTTTTCCTGTCAAACATTTCTTATGGCCCACTTCAAAACCATCTCCAATTTATGCCATAAGCCTTAATTTATGATCAAAAAAAGGTATTTGTAAGGCTTGCAAATATCATACTCATAAGTAGCTTTCGCCAAGTTTTGCAAGGAAACACAAACTGAAAATAGTAATAAGTCCAAATTTGGACAAACAAAGAGAAAGAGGAACAGTTTGATATGTGTGGGCTTCCCATAGTTGACACGACAACAACTTTCAGAGTTGTCGGTTTGGCATAGCATGATGTGGACGGTGGTCCATAATATTTGACCAGCTCATTGGAAATGGAAAATTCCCTATTTGCTTAATAATCAAACCGACATGCTCCGTTCCACCTCCAATTATTATTTTTATTATGTAATCTTTGTTAACTTCAGACTTTTAATTTATTAATCCATCAATATTTTTTTTTTTTTTTTATTGGTTTTATCATTTTCAACATGTTCCATTCTTTTCTTAGTAAGTGAATCAAATATATATTTTACAAATTTCTGTCGGTTGTCAATATTTTCAAGAATTTTATAAAAATCATCCTAAACATATTTAAGCTCTTCTTGATATTTTCTGGAACCTCATGCCCAACATTATAATTTTTTTTTTTTTTTTAAATGAAATACTTTTAGTTATTAAAAATATCATTTAATCTTTTTATCTTGTCTTTCTCATTTTTGTTAAAATTTTCCATTTAGGATTACATAGCCTTTAAATTAATATAATTTTGTAGAATAATACTAAACATCCAAGTTTTGCGTATGAATAAAAATGAGACACAATTCATCAAAAAGATAACCAACAATATATATATCATAGAAAAGTTATACAAATTTTTTTTATCAAAATTTTTTTTAAAAATTGTATACATAATTTACGTGTTGGTATTACTATGACTATATCAGTTTCACTATAAATGTACAATATTAAATAGTGTTCAACTTATAATATGATTAGATTATTTAAACTTCAAATTTAAATTAAATATGCGAGACTACCATTACAATATATATTGGAGAAAACACTTAAAATCCCTTTTATTTTTGACAAGTTAAAATATAACCTTTTTTTTTTAAATTGGTTTGTAGATAAAACCTTTTATCAACTTTAGTTTCATTTTTACCCTTCTACAACTTTCATGTCTTTACTCTAATAACTTTAACCTAAAGTAACTCTACACTAGAGTGTGCTAGAGTCATATATATATATATATATTCTCCAAATTAGTTAGAAATTTTAAAAAGAACAGTAAATGTATACTAGAGTTATTATAATTTTCCAAAAATAAGAAGTGAAAAAAAATTAATTTTTTTTTACTCTCGTGACTCGAGCACTAGAGTGTTTTCCTTTGCTACTAGAGTGAAGAGGGTAAAAATAAAAATAAAAATAAATTAGATGAAAGGTCTTATCTATTAAGTTAATTGAAAAGAACATAGATTTCAATTTAGGTCTTGAAAAAAAAAGGGTTTTATAAGTAATTATTTCTATATTTTGAGTTAAAAAGTAACTAAACAAATTTTATTGGGTAATATTAAATTCATATTCTAATCATAATAAAATTAAGAAACCAATTCAACTAATGATATATATATATAGTCATTTGTGTATGTAGCTAACTAACATCAATTAAACATATTAATAAAAAGTTAATACATTAATCTCTTGAGGATTGATTAAATAACAAAAATCTTTCTAGAATCCACTATTAATTATAGGAAGGTAAATCTGTAAATATCAACCCACTCAAAATAATGGAAGAAAATTTTTTATTATGAATAATTTTAGATGTATAAACTCTTTATTATACAAATTAGATGTGGTAAAAAATAAATGGATAAATTTATATACAAAATCAATTTAATAAAATATTGAATTAATATAGATAAATGATGTTGCAATAAAAGAACAGTAATGTTAGGTTTACAATCTAATCTCACAACTTTTTTTTTAAAATCTTCAACGTGACAACTCATAATTAGTCATCTTATAAATGTGTCTCACCTACTTACTATGAGTTCCGCCTACCTATTTGTGAGTTAATTAATTGCGAGCTATCACGTCATATCAGTGGTTGTGAGAGAATATTATGATATTAGGATATCGATATAGCATTCCTCGTAAAAAAAAATCATGTGTATTAGTTTGTAGATTAGAGTTTGTATAAGTAGTACACCTCTTTTATTATTTCAAAAACTTTTGTGATTACAACATAATTCTATTTATAACTAATTTTTATTTAATCATTACAATTAATTAAAGTATTGGCAAAAAATAATTGATGGGCAATAGTAAGCATTAGTCAAATTAAGGATTAACGGAACTTTACAAAAATAAAAAATAAATTCCCTTTAATCACTCTTAGATGGTAGGGTGATACAATAAATATTCTTAAATATATTATTTAAGTTGTCTTAAATTTGATTATCTCGCCTTTTAACTTGGAGATCTCAGAATTAATCAGAGGCACGTAAAAGTCGGCCTGAACAACCAAATAAAAAAAAAAAAAATTCACCAAACACCGTTAAGTGCGAACAAAAGGGCAAGGCAAGTTGGGGGTTTAATTTTGGTGAAGCGTAAACTACTTTCAACCGTTGTTCCAAATTCCAATTCCTTAAACTAAGCATATTCTTTTCTCTCTCTTCTCCCTCTTTCCTCTTAATTTAACCATTTTTTCTTTTACAAATTCCCCCAGTTTCCTTGGAATGCCCGCAAACCCAAACACATACCCTAATTCTTTTTCCCTTTTTCTTCTTTCAATTTTCTTTTTCGTGGGTTGTAAGTTGTAGCAATTTGCAGGTATGTTTTTCCTTCGCTTTCTGTTTGGTTCACGGGAAAATTTGGTTCAAAAGTTAAGAGAATGCTTAAAGCTGCTTTTTAAAAGAAACCCTTTTCTAAAATTTACTTGCATTGCTTTTTTCCACCGCCAAAAATGGAGCTGTGTTAATATAGTTTTTTTAAGGAAAAAAATATTAACTTTTGTGAATTACTATGTATTTGTATTAGTGTGAGGTTTTCTGGGAAATTTGTTGTTCACTCTGGATTATGAAAAAGAATGGCACAATCAGTAAAATTATGCGATCAGGTTCTTTAGCTTCTTTTTTTAAATAAAAAGTTTTGTGTTTTTTCATATTTTTACTGCATTGCTTTGCGTAGATTATATACGTTTTTACAATTTAATGTTGGTTTGTATTGAAGACTAATGAATTCAATTTGGGAAATTAAAGAGCACCTAACTTTCCTTAAGCCAGTTTTACAACAAAACCTTCTGTTTTCATGTTAAAAGAATCAAATTCATCCTGGGAAACTTAATTTGCACATGAGGCTTTTTTTTTTTAGATGTTCATATGAATAAGTGAAAATTTTTGTATTTCATGCAGGTTTCTGTGTCTTTCCTGCTTGGTGATTGTTTAGACAATTCGACAATTTATAATATTTGAGTTATCGGGGTTATTAGCTAGACTACAGAAGAATATGCGGAATGATTGGTTTTGTTTCATGGATTTTGATGGAGGGAATCCATACATTTTACCTACAGAGTTTTTCTTCTCGCGTAGTTTAGGGGATCATTTATTTTCACAGTCTAAACATCTACATGTTCCTGGAAGCCTAGCACTAAACGAAACTTTTAACTGCATTTCAAAGTTTGCTGGAGCTTTTTTATTTTGGTTCACAAGTGGCTCAAGTTCAAATTTGACTAGGAGAATAGCAGACACTCAGCATGTTTCAAAACCTGGAAGCTGTAAATCTTCTATGCAAGTTAAGCAAATTACTTCCAGTGATTCTAATCTTGCTGGATTTAATTTTAGTTCTAGATCAAAAAGTGAATCGGCCACTTCGGTGGTTTTTGGCAAGATTTCTAGTTCAGCCATTAGACAAATGCTTAGAGAAGGAGAAGGAATCCAATGTTGTTCTTTGCTCTCATTAGCGGCAGCAGTGATCCCACCATTTGATAACTTGTAAGTCTTTTGAAATAACATGAGATAAGTAGGTTGGATTAATTTTACTTTTCCTTTTTTTTGTTAGTCTTTCATATTTTGGGTGTCTGTTTGGCATTGGTTTATAACAATTAATTCAATATGATGATGATGTCTGTCAGATCTTCAAAGATAATGGCTGTTCCATTGGACGCCATGGATGTACGAATGCATGAATGCCTGGATCAAAGGCCTTGTGAGATTGAGCCCCAGCGTTGTGGCAGTTTATCTTTTCCCAACTTGAACAGGAGAAGACATGCTGTTGAACCCAGAACAGGCATAGAGTTTCCAGTTATATTGGACAACATTTTAGACACAGGAAATAATTCCAGTTTAACTTCTGAGGTAAACGCAATAGAACCTAATTGGAGGAATTCATTCTTTATCTTTTGATATGTTGTGGTGGTTTGATTGCTTTGGCATGTTATTACTTTGGAAAAATCCCCAATGCTTTATGGATATTGTCTTGGAATTTTTAACTAGATGTGTAGTCTTTGTCAATTTTGATAGTACATTAGTGTTTCTATTAAATCTTCTTCAGTACTTGTTCTACAGGGTGTCTGTTGTTTGATCAATTTAATATTTAATCTTTGGGATACTATGTAAACTTTCAAGAAATCCATTGGTCCTTTTGCTGCTGTTTCTCTGTCTCATAGTCTCTTTAATTTTTTATATTTTCATTAACACATATAACTTCCACGTGCTCAGGTCCTTGTTGGAACTGGATCCAGAACTATGAAAATAATTAAAATTAAATCTCTGAAGGTTTATGCATTTGGTTTTTGTAAGTATTTTTAGATCCAACTTGATGCTTCTCAGTTTTTGTCAGCAACTCCTTGATATCGTTGTCATTTATTCGTTTACTGGATTTTGTTTTTGCAGATGTTCATCATCGTGCTGTGTGTGAGAAAATGGGTAGAAAATATGCATCTATACCAGTGGGTGAACTGAACAAAAGGCATGAGTTTTATGAGGATCTTCTGAGGTATATGAGTGACAGTCATTCTTAAAGCACTGCTAATAAAGGAAATTTAAATTTTTTCTTGAAGTTGTAAAGCTAGAAAAATTCTAGAGTGAATTTTTTGTTTCTGCTACTGTGCTCAACTTTCTTAAAGGAGCTCTTTTATGTGGGTGCTGCAGGGAGGATATTGATATGACCGTGAGGCTTGTGATTAATTGCAATGGCATGAAAATCAATTCCGTGAAGGAGTAAGTTAAATATTCTTTTCTATGCACACTCTAGATTTTAGTGGATTTTGATGTTACTGTCACGAGAAGACATTAGAATGTCACTGACATTAGTCAGCATAAGGCCTCACAAACCAAGTCTTATGAATATTCTTGCTTTACGATTTATCTCATGGATGATTTATGTTAATAGCTTCATTTTGTGTCTGAGATGTGTAATGGATAAATTAGTATTAATTTTCTTATTCGTTTGCTTTGTTGTATGTATGGCAGTGCTTTTGAGAAGTCTCTTCGTGCTCGTTTGGTCAAGGTAAATCATTACAGTATAAAAATTTGTTTGACTTTTCTTATTTCGAACTATTGCTGACTTAAAAATTTTTCTCACCCATATTAGACAAATCCAGACACCGATTATAATTGCTTGAAAACTTTTGGTTCTTACTTCACAAAAGATATTCCGTTACCTCAGGTAATAGTCTATTTTCTCTTTGCTTCTTCTGTTTTTTTTCTTTTTTAATCCCTCTTATCTGTTATAACACTAAGTTACGTCAACTTCCATTAATATTGCAGGGAACTACAATTGATCTGCGACGAACAGCTGATGGACAACTAATTACTGAAAGTGAGTTATTACTATATCAAATTGGGTAAAAGTTACCTCCGTTGAGGTATTGTCCAATCACTAGCAGACTTATCTGACAATGAACTATGATACCAATGGTGTCTGTGTAATTAAGCCAAATCTAAGGTCAATAAAATTATGACTAAATTTGAACATATTACATTGTTTGATGCAGTGGGATGAGAGTACAACATATGTAATCACAGCTAGATATTGTACGCTGTTGTGTACTTCTAGAATGGGGGCTGAGTTAAGAAGTTATTTCAATTTCTCTATAAATTGTGCATACAACTAACAGAGTCTTTAAAAAAAAAAAAAATTGTGCAGTTGCAGGTAATCGTATAGGAGCAGTCAAAAGCAAGGATTTATGCAGTAAGTGAAAAATTAGTTCTCAATTTCTTATTGTTTACACATTGAGTGCATCTCTGAATCAAAGAAGTACCTTATCAATAACTTGTCTAGGAACAGTGCTCCAACCTGGAGTAGCCATTGTAACTGTGATTTTCAAGATTCTGACATGTTACTTTTTATTTTCAGGGGCTTTCTTTGACATGTACCTGGGAGATGTTCCAGTGTCGGAACAAACGAAAGAAGAGATCGGCAAAAATGTGGCTAGTATGATAAGGAAGTGCTGAATTGGTTCTTGTTCCATCAACATTGTCTCAAATTTTGAAGGGACAAAAATTTGGTGGTGAATTATTTAGCCATGATGTAAGTCTAGTATACGTTGATTGAAAATTGCCCCTTAAGGTTGTGGCAATTGCAGATTTCACTGCAAAGCTTTCTAGGGTTTTAGCAGTGATGATACAGGTGATTTAGGAGGATATAGATATATTTAACAAGGAGGAAGAGTACTGTGATTCTTTATAGGGTTTTGGGATTAAATAGCTGTCCCAATTATATCTTTTTTTCGTTCTCATTCTTTAATATACAGAGAAGAATGTACTACTATGTTTTCATTCCCTTTTATAATAATAAATAATATTTTTTTTTTTTTAAGATTCAGGTTATACTACCTGCCTGTACTATTTAGTGCAATTCTTTAACTTTCAAAACATAATAATATAAATTAGAAGGAGTTTTAGCTATCTATCATCAATTTAATTTGATAAAAAACAGAAAGAAATTTTTTAAAAATAAAATAGAAGTCAACCAACACAACATAAAAAGTAAAAAAACCCGAGAAAAATACTTAATCACCCCTGTGTTTTGGGTCAACCACTGTTGATCCTACTGTTTCAAATAATATGATAAAGCCCCCTGAAACTAACAAACGTTTAATGAATATCTTTCCGCTAAAGTCCAAATTGCCCTTATTTTTCTTTTGACCGGATTTGGACTTGAATAAATTAATATATGAAAAACTTGATAAATAATCTTTTGTTTAAAAGAAAATCAACATAAAAAAGTCAAAAACCCAAAACATATAAAAAAAATTAAAACCACTCATCTCTCTATCCTTTTTTCTTGTAGAGCTAAAAAAACACAAAAGTCTAACGCCAAATCTAAGCCATAGTATACCCGATCTCAACAACCACAAGTCTCCTCCCCATTCTCATATGCAAGGATGATGGTGGTTTTAATGGATTTTGATTAGTAAATTAATGCTTCCGATGAGAGAGTTTTAGCGAAAGAGATCAACCATGTGTAATATCCCGGTATTTCAAAGTGTAGAAATTTAAGTATAGAACTCGAATGGATGATTTAGTCTATAACCAATTCTTTCTCTTTGACTTGAGACTGAAAAATTTAGATTGATGGAGACAAACTAACTGAGTGTTGATATAAATATTATAGTTAATCCCTTAGCTATGATATGGCAAAAAACAATTCTCTTAAATTTCAAAAATAACAAAAATCCAACTGTTTGTGTTTCGTTCAAATTTACACTGTTATGAGTTAATGAATATTATTAAATTATTCTCCTATTCCTTATTTTTATACATAAAATTTAACCACAAAGAGATTTTTGCTATATCCAAAACCTCAAAAGGATTTTTATTATTATATCATTATTTTAAAGGGATTAATGTCATTTACTCTAAATATTAATGAACTTTACAAGAATTATTTATCAGAATAAGACTCTTATCGATTTATCAAAGTTTTATTGGACAAAATTGGAAGATGAAATTTCAATAAAACTTATAAATAAAAAACTAATACTTAACATACATATATATATAAAGCATGGAAAATAGAAGATAAAATGAATAATTAAATTGATTAAATGGGGCAAAATAATGAATGTTAGCCTCCAAATCATATATAAAGACTAGAATTGAAGAAATCGTTTATAGATTGTTGAATTCTACAATTATTGAAATCTGAATCATTGTTATGAGTAAATTATGAATTTTTCTTCATGATTTCTTTTTTCATTATAATAAATTAAAATTTTTATATTTAAATATGACTTTTTTTTTTATATTTAATTTGAACCGTTAGATTAGTGAATGAATAAGAATTTAAAAAATGATTCCGTCCCTTTATCAAATTGTTGATTTGTAACACAAACTCTCAGTCATTTATGTTAATAATACATACGTCATTTATATAAACATACTACCTTTTATATATTTTATTATTATAAATTAAAGTAATTTAATACTTATAATTAAACATTAAAAAGATTAGAAATAAACATCCTTTTTAAAAATAAACATATAGATTCAAACTACGAGTGGGCTACTAACTTTTAGAAAAGAAAATTATATAAATAATTACAAAGCTACCTTATTTATTATGACAAAAACCTTTAATTGTGTTTTTTTCTTTTTCCCCTCTTATCCTTATGACCTGAGCTCTTTTACTCATCTTTCTCTTAACCTGATTGTAATTAAACTAATTATAGTTGAAATTTGTGGGTTTTCCATCATAATAATTTTCATAAAAGCGGATTTATTAACACCCTACTAATGGACTAAAGAAGCCCTATTTTTTAATATATTTTATAATGACAATTAACTTTATATGCTGCTGTCATTCTTAGAAGATGTAATTCGTTCGGATAAAATAGTCATTTTTTTAGGCATATTAGTTGCCTATATAAATTTCTTACTTACACCCATGTAACGTTTAAAGGGTACTGATCAAACTTACTTCAAATTCTTCGCATTCATACGTCTAACAAATTAACAAACACTATCTAAATAAATGTTACTTTATAAACTAATATAAAAGAAATATTAAACTTAGGTGATGTTCGTTTTTTTTATCTGATAGTTAAATGGACTTGATTGTTGAATATGCTTGAATGTACAAGTCTAATTGATGTGTTTGTTTTTTCTTTTTCGTTGTCTTATTATAAGTGTTGGATTGTTTGTTTTTATTGATATTTTGACANAGCATCCGGTATGCCTACTGTGCAATATAGTTGCCCAAATTTATATTGCTTCCATAAGGAACCTTTTTCAATAACTCATTTACCTATTAAATGAATCATCTGGACAATTCATATACATACTTTATTTTAAATGCATGACTGAATAAAGGAAGCAATTTACATATATGAATTGAAGAACTCTTTCTTCTATTATTTATGATATATATAGATACAAGACAAAATGCTCCGAAACCGACAACACGAATGGTTTCTAGGGCATACACTAATATACACTAACATGGTTATGTGATGGGGAGCTCGTAAGTGTAGAAATTTCCCGCATGTAAACCGCCTTGAGAGAGCGGTCTCCGCCTTGAGAGAGCGGAATGAGAAAGAGAAAAAGAATTTATATAGCCGTGAGAATACATGCGGATGAGAGCTATACACGAGAGAGAGTACACTCACATGGTCAAGGGTTCTGAATCCATGTATCGACCAAGACCGATCGGCAAAGAATAGAATAATAAAGAATAAGAATGAATAAGAATAAGAATGAGAAAGACAAGAAAAGAAAGAAAATGCATTGCCTTGCATTAGTGCATATGCATCTCATCTGTACATGTTAGCATGATATCTCTCATGGCTGATGAGAATAGAGAGAAAGAAAGAACAGAAAAAAAGAAAAGAAAAGAACAGTAGAAACAGAGAAAGAACAAGAGAGATTGAATATGAGAAAGTGACAAGAGTAAGGAAAGAATTGAAAAGTGATACATGGGGATAGCGGAGTAGAGGATTACTTACTGAGCATCTTTGTGCTCACCCCGTTGTTTTTTATGTTTTTACAGGACATGGTCGGATGGACGTTGGTAACCGGGGACACTTGACTACACTGTCCACTGTTTTGAGAGTCTTTTTGTACAAATGATACTGTACTATTTAAAGAATGTATATATTAAGTAAAGAAAAATTTTTGGACCTAACTATTTTGATAATTATACTTGTGTCTTTCATTAATATATTATATGAATATGATAGTAGAAAGAAGTCGTTACACCGGATTGAGGTGTTTTCGGTTCGGATGGCGACGTTCTTGGCTTCCAATGCTACCACCTTGTTTGAGTGTTGTTGCAAAAAGGTAGTCAGAGCTTCGAGTCTGGCCTTGAGACCAAGATTGGTGTTATCTGAATTTTCAACCATAGGGAGTCTCCTTGCGAAGCAGGGTTTGAAAGACGAATGATTGTCAGAGGCCCTATGGTGGGTGCGAAATTATAGATGCAACAAATCTACCGTTACAGAAATAGGGTCTGATCTCGTGAGGTTGAGGCCACTAGCAATCTGTTGCACCTGCGCACACTAGAAAACAAGCGTGAAGCTTATGGAAAGCGTCAGGGTGGTGTTTGCTGGAGGCACTCCAACGCTCAAGTCAGCAAGGCTGGGTGAGGCTAATTTAGAGAGGGTTATGGAAAGAGAAGGTTACCAGAAATTTAGTCGGAGACTAGAGCTGGGCATTTGGGACTGGGCCCAAAAGCCCAGCTCCAAAAACCAGGCCTAGGACCGGTCCTTTGGAGGACCGGTCCTAGGAGGCCTGGTCCCAAAACGGGACCAGGCCTAAGGAGGAGGGCCTGGGCCCTCCACTGGGCCCTCCTCCAAGGCCCGGGCCTGGGCCCAATCCCAGGCCTGGGCCTAAACTTTTTTGGCCTTTTATCATTTTAGTTCTTTGTAAAATTACATTAAACCCCCTAAAATAAGTATAAATTAAAGGACTAAAATGAAATTTTACAAAATTTATTAAAAAAAAAAAAAAAATTAACCATTGGCTGCCAACGGTAATACACCAACAGTTACATTTATATAATATAAGTTTTTTTTTTTCCCCCCCACAACTACACTATAAATAACCCTAAAACCTTTAATTTTTTTCACACCAATCAATCTCTTATTCTTTCATTCTCTCAATCTCTCTACTCCAAATCTCCAATCAATTTCTTATTCAATTTATATTTATAATTTATTTATATTATTTATTTATATTATTCAAATTTTTTTCTATTTTTCAATATCATCATAATTTCATATTATTATTTAATTTCTTTTCATTTTAATTATTTATTATTTTATCATAAATTTATAATGTCTTCCCCAAATGAGTTTTACGTTCCATCCACCGAAGAAATTGAAGCCTTCAATCCATTTTCACCATTTCCTCCAGAGGATGCAGCTGTAATTCCACAACCACATTCGGTCGGGACGAGGTGTAGCCAAACACATGTGAGCTGCGAGTCAACGGGCACGGACATAGCCCAACCCCCCCGACCGTCAAAGAGGGTCGTGTCCGATGTCTGGCGATACTTCACCAAATCAAAACGGCCAAAGACAAATGGGGAGGGGGAAGAATCGTGTGGGATATGTAATTTATGCGGAACCATTATTGGGGCTGAGAAGGGGACTTCGACGATGCGACGACACGTAGAGAAGAAGCATCCCCAAATAAGTGCATCTTCAAGCGGATCAGGTAGACAAATTCAAACTCAACTTAATTTTAATCCACAATCCTCAACTCTCTCAACATGGCAATACAATACACATGT